GGAGAGGTGGCTGGAAACGCTCAACTGGGAGGGTGCCAGCCGGGGTCCAGGCCCACAGCCGGGCTCAGAGCGCGCTCCGACACCGCCCCGGGAGCCCAGCAGGCCTTACCTGGGCTGCGCGGGGCTCCTCGACCGAGAGAGGGATGACCTGGACGGTTCCGTTGAGAGGCTTCTGCTCGTCGGGCTGCCCCCCGAGCACCGAGAGCTCCAGCTCTTCCCCCGTCGATGGGGATCCGGCCCCTTCCATGGGCAGGCAGAGGACGGCTGACACGCGGGAAGTAGGGCGCACACACGTAGGGGTGCAGAGTCCAGAGCGGCCTCACGGCGAGCTCACACTCCGCCCCCCGCGGGCGCGGCAGGGCAGACCTCGGGCGGCGGGCGGGGCGGGGCGGCACTGGCGAAGGGGAGGCGCCCCTGGCCCCCGCCGGGGTAGAGCCGCAGCGCCTACGTGGGCTCGCGAGCAGAGCAGAAGAGGGCTGTTTTTCTGGTTTGTTCAGGGCGCTGCCGGCTCTACCTTTCCCTGTTCACGCAGATCCGAAGCAGAAGGTGAGCCCAGGGCCCGTTGGGTGGCAGCTGCGGCCCGGATGGATCCGGACCGCCGTGCCACGGAGGAAAGGTAGCATTCCACCTCCAGGAGCTGTCTGCTGCCGGGCTTGCCCCAGCGTTCTCTGCCTAGCGCAAGTTCATTCATCGAATCAACAAGCAACTGGGAAGGCTGTACGCACTCGCGCAGAACGTCTAGTTCGGGGAGCCTGGGATTTTGTTTGCTAAGCAAGGTGTGTGTTGATCATCTCGAGCTTCTGTTCAGAGCGGGCTTGCCCTCAGCACACGTATTAAGACCAGTTTGAGTTGTGGACAGGATGCATGTAAATAAGCTTCACTTCAGAAGAGGTCGACCTGTGTCCAAAAGGCTGCCTACTGTTCAGACACTTCCTCAATATTGGGTCTCTAGTTGTCAGTTGCCTGGTAACAGATCGTCTGGACTCCATCTGCCTGCTCGAGGGGGTCATGCTGACTGCAGCTGCTCAGCTGCCGGTCTGCACTGACTTCTGCTTTCTTCGCTCTAGCTGGCACATTCTGCAGGAATCATGCTGCATTCACACAGCTGGGATTTTTCGAAAAAGCTTTTCAACAAAGGATCAAAGGTTAAGAGAACCAAGAAGGGGTGCTAGGGCACCCAAGGACAAGCCATAGTAGAAAGCCATCATTACCCACGGGCCTAAAAGGGACTGGAGCCTTGAAGGAGGGAGCTCCCGATGGGCTCTATGGTCACAAAAAAGTTGCAGCCACTTCCAGGACTGTAGCCCAGCAAGGAGGAGACAGACGGGAATAAATACTGTGACCTTTCTCCCTACCTGCCACTCTCCTTTCCGTGACTCCCACCAGAAACTGGTGACAGAAGTCAGGGGTCAGCCTCCTAAAGCTCAGAGAAGAAAATGAATCTGGGGCGCCAAGAGAAAAGGAGCCTGCACCCTGTCTTTCCCTACGGTAACTGACATCTTGTCTTCCTTCTCAGACATTCGATAGTCTGGTCTGGTCACATTCCTCTTCCGGGCTGGCCCTCACATATCCCATTCTATTGCCACCCCCACGTCTTTGTATATGATGTTCCCTTTGCTTGCAGTGTTTTTCCTACCCACCTTCTGCACGGACAATTCCCATCCATCTCTAAATTCTAGCTAATGCATACTTTTAGCACCAAACCTTCCCTGACTTGCGTGCTCCCCCAGAAGTTTTCCACGCTCTTCTCTGTTACCAGTACGTGCTATACTGTGCTGAATGGGGCACAGATTCAGTCCACTTTAATTCAACAAACAGCACTGAGTGCTTGCTATATGTCAGATGTTCTTCTGGATGCTTGGGGTATGTCTGAAGAAGTAGCTAAATAAAACAAGATCACTGCCATGGCGATCACTTCTATTTAATGAGGGAAAGAAACTTACACAACATTTCTAGAATATTAGAAATGATGTGTGCTATGGAGAAAAATAAGGCAGATTAAGGGAGCTGGAGTGTCAAGTGGTGAAGGGGAAAGAGGAGGTGCAATTGTAAATAGGGCCATCAACTCAGGCCTCAGCCAGAAGGTGGGATACGTAGGACCTGGGGGTACAGCGTCCAGCACGGTGACTGCAGTGTAGCATGTGTCTTGCGTACATGAAAGTTGCTAAGAGGGGCACCTGGGTGGCTCAGTCGGTTAAGCATCCGACTTCGGCTCAGGTCATGATCTCAAGGTTAGTGAGTTCCAGCCCCGCGTCGGGCTCTGTGCTAACAGCTCAGAGTCTGGAGCCTACTTCAGATTCTGTGTCCCCCCCTCTCTCTACCCCTCTCCTGCTCATGCTCTCTCTCTGTGTGTGTCTCAAAAATAAATAAATGTTAAAAAAATTTTTTAATAAATAAGAGAAATAAAAATTAAAAAAAAAGAAAGTTGCTAAGAGAGTAGATCTTAAAAGTTCTCATCAGGAGACAAAGAACGATAGCTTTGTGTGAGGATGGACATTATAGACTTATTGTGATTGTTTACACAAATATCAAATCACTATGTTGGTACACCTGTAACTAAATTAGTCCTTCATTTTTTACAAAGTGAAACTTGAACAAAGAGTTAAAGGTGGTAAGGACAGTAGCTGTGCTGTGCTGAAAGAAGAGGGACATTCAAGACAGGGACCTGAAACTGAAGCCTGTTGGACTTTTCCTGTCTGAGAATCAGTAAAGCGGCCAGAATGGCTAACATGAAGCATGAGTCATTTTTTTCTCTTGTGTACCTCCTCTGTTGTTTAAGCTCCTTGAGGTATCAATGTATCCCCAGTACTTAGCTCTGGATTTAGCACAGTGCCCTCTATAAATGTTGATTAGTTTGATATTCTCAGCAGTGCTGGTTTGCTAGGCCCAGGCTCTGAGACCCCAAATAGGATCAGCAAGACGTCTCAAATCCCCTCTCATCCTTACCAGGGGGCCCAGACAACCTTCCCCACGGCCCTGCAGTTTACAGAAGATCAGTTTCACTGGAAGACCCTCTCCCCATGTCAGATGAGTTGTAGCTGTCTCCCAAGCCCAGTTTCTCCATGAATAGATATTTATAAGCTCTTTTACGCACCAGAGGATCAAAAAGCTACTGTTTACCGTCACAAACACACTCTAAGTCAGATCTCCTAGTGCCTTCTGAGTTCTGCAAAGCAGGGTTTCTGTATTCTCTAATCTAGACTAGGGTGCATTTCTAGAATTCCACTAACCTAACTCTTGCATATAGTTGGCGTCCCTATGGAAATATAAGCTTTGAAGACAAACAGATTTCGCACTCTCACTACAGTGTGTACTTTGGCAAGTTGTTTAATATGAGCTTCTTTCCTCATTATAAAACGGTTTCTACCGAGTAAAGACGATTAAATGAAGTGATTAGAATAAAGCCTTTATTCCTAGGCCTGACAAATAGCAGGGTCTCAGTAAATATCCCTTACTTTCTGTAATTATCTTTATAATTAATATGCACCCACCTCCAACCCTTAGCAGCCAGGAATAATTCTTGATTCAATATATTTTCTTTTGACATTGATTTGTGTTCCTGTCCTGTCACATTTTCTTTCTTCCTTCCTTTCTTCCTTTTTCTTTTCTTCCTTTCTTATTTTAGAGAGAAAGAGAGCATGAGCAGAGGACAGGGGCAGGGGAAAGAGAGAGAATCTTTTTTTAAAAATATTTATTTATTTATTTGGGGGGGG